CCCCAAAACCCCAAAACCCCAAAACCCCAAAACCCCAAAATTTTCAAAAATTGATATAATATAATGGAAGAATCAGCCAGCAGTAGCTTTTTCATGCCTAGTGAAGAATCATCAGCAGCAAACGAGCTGTCGTTGAAAGAATCACAGAACGGAGAAAGCTGCTTTAAAGGATTCAGGTCCCTTAGACAGAGCGAGGAAAGTGATGTACCCAGTCATGGCTTGTTTACAAACGAAAAGGATCAGTTCGATCAAGTCCAAGCACTTGGCATGAATAAGTTCTCCTCTGAAAGAAGGCTTCTCCCAAAAAAGAAATCTTCAAAAATAGACGATTACTCGTTTAAAACTCCCTTTTCTAATAAGTTTTCCAACCATGATGTACAGAAGTCAGCAGATAATGGAGAGGATGAGCAAGAATTTATAGAAGAGGACAACAAAAGTTTTGATTTATTTATAGACTCAGAAGACCCTAAAACACAAGAATATTCATCAGATCCCGAAAAACCTTTACTTTCAGAAGACGAAGAAATGTGGAGGAAGGAATGGGCAGAGTCCCGGAAGGATATCTGGACCAATGCTATTCTACAGGAGATCAATCTGGAAGGGAGCGAGCGTTCGCTCGCGTCCTTCCAGATTCACCTCAAGAATATCTCTGTGCCAAGAAACCATCTGAAGCTCAACATTATCCTCAGGATTGTATTACTATTATGTTATATTGGCGATGTCGGATTCTTGCCATGGATCAGAAACAGTGAGTGAATTGATGACAAAGAGAAAGGTGGTAAAGAATACTGTAATATAAACCCAGCCTGGTTATTCTATAAATAAAGGTCTCTACTTCTACTTCCAATTGATGAATGGCGAATTCTGAAAAGATAAGAATTTAAAGGAATCTTTTTGCACTGATGCTCCGTTCAACTTTTTGGCAGGCAGTTTTACTCTCCTTATCGCATTCTTAGTGATAGTGTTCGAGATCCTAGCAATGCTAAGTATACTGAACCTTGTGATGGATTACCGTGTAAAATGGTTCAGAGCGTCTATATTCCAGCGTTATAGTTATATCTTTATATTCGCAACAGTAGTAATATGGTTTTGATCACTCCGATTATGGTGGTCACTCAAGTTCCTGAGTTTCGGATTTTACGGAATGTTTGCCATCTTCATAGGCTGTATTCTGCTAAAATTTCACTACAGGTTCTTTAAGACTAAGCTGTACCGACGAAGGCAAATAAATCACCTTCTGCTGGACAAGTAATTAATTATTGGTACTTAAAAATTTAAGATGTAAGGTTACATTGGGGTTTTGGGGTTTTGGGGTTTTGGGGTTTTGGGG